TAAAATAAAAAGGAGCCCAGACGCCCCTTCATGTTCAGTTGAATGAAACTGCAGTGATCCACTCTTGCCGAATATAGACTTGCATGGACTGTTTCGGATATATTTGTTATAGGATTTGTATGGCAGACTAATATTCAGTAAAAATCCTGAAATATGCAGTGATATGTGCATAGTTTGATTTGTAATCTCGATGGAATAGGTACAGAAATACCAAACAAAAGCCACAGATGGCGCTGACCACTTCCTCTTTATCACATAAAATATCATTGTGCGGTATTGTGTACGTTTGTAGCTACCTGTACCTCACATTATGACTGCCACTGATGTTCAAAATACAGAGGGCACTAATAAACTAATGTTGAGGAAGTTGACTTTACCATGCATATAGGAGGGTCCTGAAGGGGGGAGGGGTCCCATAAGCAGTAAAATTTAGGGTACTTTTTCATTAAGCAATCGTCGCGAAAATTCCTAAATCGGCCATGGCTGGACATGGGACTTTTAATTCTGCTTTCGTTTCATCCTGACAATTCATATTTCTAATACCGGGTAAAATCTCAAATCGCTAAACATTCTAGACTGGTCCCCTGCGTCAGTTGCGCAGCCTGCTTTCTGTGGCGAAGCATTTGGGTCTTGAAGACGGACTGTATTTAACCATTTTAATCATTTTTACGATAAGCAGATATTTTTTGGTATTTTACGTTAAGCATTTACGATAAAAAAGATGAATTTTACGTTTACAATAGTGTTTGAAGGGTGTTTTACGCTAAGCATTAAAACCCCTCAGGACCCTCATATAAACTGTCAAGGAAGTAAATTACCATGCATATCACACTGTATCAGATGGCCTGGTGTCATGAATACACTGTCAGGATACTGATAATGTAAGAGTGAATATTATCCTACCCTATTTTTTATCCCAGGGATGAAATTCTATAGTGTCAGGATGATTCTCCCTAGTGAATTTGAACCCATACCAGTGTGTTTAATCCTATCCTATACTACACTCTAGAGTAAAACATGATAATATTTAGGTAGGATGTAATCCTTTTGCTTACAATAACACCATGCACCCTGTGCTACACCGTGTACACTGAAAATTAAGACAGAATTTCTGAAAGCTGTCAAAGTTTAGAGGTTCAATGCTTAGTTGACAAACATTCGGTCTAAATTCTATTATGTCATATCCTTGGACCATTTACACTGTTCAAGGGGACAGTACATCAATGGTTCTGCGTACTTTTAAATCATGCATGAAATAATTTCTGAGTGTGACGTCACATGCCCAATTCAATTTCCAAAGCAAAACAGAGCAATATAGCTCTGCACAGCGAACACAAGCGCTGCGCAGAGTAGACATGGTAAACTGGCTTCAGTTATGTTTTTTGATAATGGCAAATTGAAGAAAAAGATCAAATGTTTTTCATACGGATGAGATGCAAAATACATGGTCACTTTGATGTTTAACTTAAGCCATACTGTTATGTACCTCACTGTCGCATTTGTAGTAGTTTGTCTATATGATTTTACAAAACAATAGAAGTACACCAAAAGGCTTGCATTAGGCCTTTCTGTTCTTATTTTAGCATAAGTGTGTTTGTTTACAATCAAGAGAAAAGTGATAAGTTTACATCCGCAGTGTGGTCGCTGAAGCAGAAAATGTTTTCAGAACCAGTAAGCGTGGGGCTGTCAGTTACTGTTTACAAACAATGCTTCAGAACGGTCGACGTCCTGTGGGTTCAATACCTGTCACATTCATGACACTAAACAAGTTACTACATAAACGACCTGGCCCTGACCTAGATGAGATATCACGCTCTGCCTCGTTGACAGTTGCAAAATGCAGTGCAATATCTCCTTAATATGTTAATATTTTTGGCCAGAGATCATATTACGATATACATATGGTCCCTGCTTGAAGAATACTACACATAGGCTACCTGGCTGTCACGAGCATGATAATTGCTAAACGAACAGGTAAAAGTTCATGCATGTCAACAGGTTAGTTTTACCTATTTCGACGCATCTTGGACTGTTTGGATCTGTTGGGTGTCGTTGAATTCCCAACAGTGTTTTCTCCCATATCTGTCTTCTCAAGTGCATCAGCAACCTCGTTCATGTCGGGATCGTCATGGTGATTGTAGCTGTTGGAAAATTCGGACTGTGATCGTGAGATCAGCTGACGCCCGCTCTGTGTGTTGTTTGACATCGTGTCAGTCGGACTGAAAGAAGGTCACAGATAAAATAACATCACCTATCTCTTCCACTCGGCTGCTAGTATCTGACTGGACAAATCCTGTCGTCAGAGATCGTACGACACAGTATTTGACATTTCGGTCTGCTTCAAATTCATGTTTACTTCCGTACTCGTTTCCGCTTCCGGGGAGGAAGTGCGCATGTATGATGAGTGTGTACAAATGATGGAATGATGAGTCGGAACGGAAACATCTTGATTCCTAGAAAGCCTATATCAGCTGATTATATTAGTTGCCTAGACAGTTAGTTACATGTCAGTGAGTTGTTGCAATTTTTACATATGCATTGTGTATTAAATCAAACAGAATTATTATGTTACAATTTCAATTTATGTTACATTTGAAATCACAAACTAGCCACAAAAGTCTCTCGTTTTCTCAGAACCTCTTCAAGCCATTGCTGATGTGTTATCATCATCTGAAAGGGCAAGTTCACACAAAAATAACCTATTTTCTTGTACCTTTTCATCATGAACAATATTTACCTGGTAGTTTCAGAGGCAAAACAATAAAAATATCACAAGTATCTAATTTATTTTATTCATTAAATCGGTTCATATTTTTCACATTTACCGAGAGTTCTATTTCCATGGTAAACATGCCATGGTTTATGCCCCTAGCAATATAACGTCATTGGTGTCAATTGATAAAGGAGTGACGTCATAAGACTTTATTAGACCCGTTTCACGTCGCCAAAAAAATAGAAAGTAAACATAGTGGCGCGTGGTGTTGGTACAGGTGTGTGATATTCAATCTTCTCAGATGCGGAACCTATTGTTCTGTTCGGTGCCGCGCTGTTCAAAATACAACGCTAAGCACAATTACTCTAAAATTATTTTGTTTTCCAAAGTCGCGACTGAGAAGACAACAATGCATGGATAACGAACTGTATTTTTCGCGATGATGGTTGGACGGGTCCGTTGTCTGAATTGCGCTTATTCGTTCATTTGTGTCGCGCATATTGACTCTCGCTGAGTTGCTGCCGTGTTCCTTCAGAGTTTATACCTGCTAGTTCTAAAACTGATCTGAAGCGGATGGTGTACGATCCTTACATGGAAGCGCAAGCATCATCTCGGTAACATCACTGCCACCAGTGTGGGCGCGGCCATTACAGGATTCTTGAAATTTGGCCTCTAACCCCAAATGTAATAACGTTTATACTTTTGTTTATGTCTTTGGGAATGCCACCATATCTTATTTTGAAAAGGTTTATGACAAATCATGTTTTCCATATGAATTTACTTTGTTTGTTTAATCAGATTGATTCGAGATTGCAGACGAACGGAAAATCAACCAACGTCTCCCTTACAATCTTACTATATCAATTACATGATAGTTTTGATGAAATAGAAATTCAAATTGACAAACAAAGGATATTTAGCAGCGGTAAGTGTATTCGGCGTCACGGCAGTCGTCATTTGTTTGTAAACATAACGGTCATTCGGTTGCGAGTTCAACTCCAAGCATGGTTGTGACCACCTATCACCTTGGAGTTGAACTCCCAACCGGGACCGTTATGCTTACAAACAAGGGATGGCTGTCGTAACGCCGAGTACTCTTACCCTAACTAAATTGTTTTGGGTTTTTTGTTTGTCAATTTGAATTTCTATTTCATTTCAACTATCATGTAATTGGTCTAGTAAGAATGTAAGGGGGGTTTTGAGCGATTTTCTGTTCGTCTGCAATCTCGAACCAATCTGATCAAACAAATAAGCCATGACAAGTTTGCCCGCCTGCACCTTTCAGGTAGGAACTTATAGATGACATTCTATGACATGATCATATTTGACGCTTATGGAGGAGTATGGTGGTTCTACGCTGCTTTTAGCCATATTCCAGCAATAACGCGTCGGGGGACACCAGAAATAGACTTCACACATTGTGCCCATGTGGGGAATTGAACCCGGGTCTTTAGCATGACGAGCAAACGTTTTAACCACTGGGCTAGCCTACCCCACCGTCCTTAATGGAGAAATAAAATATTTATAGAGTAACCCATGAGGTGAAATTAATGTTGCTTTAGCGAGGAACTTAAAACATTAATTTCACGAGTAACATATTTTCCGTAATCACTCGTACCGAGTGGGTTATTCTATGTATTGCCCATAATCATATTAAAGACGTTTCGGGGGTTTGATCCGGTTTGTTGGTTGGTTTGTTGTTTAACGCCGCACTCAGCAATATTCCAGCTATATGACGGCGGTCTGTAAATAATCGAATCGAGTCTGGACCAGACAATCCAGTGATTAATATCATGAGCATCGATCCACGCATTTGGGATTCATGACATGCATCAACCAAGTCAGCGAGCCTGACCACCCGATCCCGTTAGTCGCATTTTACGACAAGCATAGTCACATTTTACGCAAGCATGGGTTGCTGAAGACCTATTCTACCCCGGAATCTTCACGGGTCAGTTTGATCCGGACAAGTTTAATGAACATCGTGTGTAATTTGAGACAAGTGTGGCTGATGGGGACCGGAACATGTGCATGTGGGATTTAAGGAGGACTTGTCAAATACACTCGTGTAGTGGACACAGCATAGTGGATGACAGGGATCTGACCCAAGTGTCTTTTGATGTCAACTGTATCAGCACGAGTTGATATATTTGACATCAAAAGACTCGAGGGTGAGATTTTATTTATCATCCAACATCATTCTTCGAACTTTTTCAGTTTGTAGATATCTCCCGTGGGAGCCAGTTTTGGATGATACATTTTTATGTGTTTCATAATGGTCGAACAGTTGAACAGACTAACACGTATCTAGGGACAAGGTGCCAAGCTGTCCGCATTCACGAAGTTAATTCAGTTCAATGTCGGACACAGAATCAGCTCGTTGGGGTAAGTTTCCTTTTCCCTTTTAATTATTGTTGTCTTTATTTCAAAACCTCTCCGAGCAAAGTGCATCGAATTCGGGGGCATATGTTGGTAATCATGTCGTTAAGGTAACACACTATGCTACCTTTGATCCCTTCATAGTAGACAGTTCGAATTCTGAACCGGCTGTGTAATTTACCCTCATTGTGCCTGTACTGGACGTCAGTCAGCCTGCATACCGCTCAGCGCCACACTGTGCTGACGTCGCGGTTACAAAAACGTATTAATAACTGTCACAGCGTTCTTATTTCTTTACGCAACGTTACAAAATTCTACGAAATAATATATCTTGATATTGTCTTTCGGAATGTATAAAGGCTGTTGCAAAATGAATTTGTTTACATTCTGATGCCATTGTTGAAAGCGTGAGTAGTCTTAATTTTCGTGTTTTTCTTTCCTGTATATATCTTGTGAACTAAATTCATGTCAACTTGTCAACTTTAGTCTTTTTCATTGTGTTTTCCTTTTCAGTTGCAGTTAAGAATCTTATCGATGTCATCGTCATTTACAAAAGGCAAACCTGTCTGTATTAAGTCCGGTTCGGGTGGTCGAAAAAAACGTCAAATAAGCAAGTCCTCTAACACAGACGCAAACCCGGACTTGGGTGTGTTGATCTTGGCGCACTAGAAACAGTTTCTGACAAAACTGCAATCTGAATCTTGGAACTCATATCTGTCCATATGCAGTTTTGACAACAAAGACAATAAATGTGTTCAGAGGTTGTATTATACGAATAACTCTGTTAGTCAGATCTCCGTCCGCTTTAACGAGGTCATTTACTTTGACAGGTGTCAAATGGTCATCGCTGTTTGTTTACAAACAACGCAGACGTAATTTTTGGTTTAACTAATGTAATGTGAAATAAATGAAAAAAATAATCTGAAGTCGTGTTGATATGACACTGTTTCGTGTCTTAAAAATCTCGAATCAGTGAGATTGTAGCACCTAAAACATTTGAATAAGTGGCGTGGATTTGTGAATGAATGGAATGAGACAAACATTGTCCCGTTGACCAATGAAAATTGATCTTTGTTTAACTGACCAATCAGCTTCGAGAATCAGTAATTGCACACTGTGCCAATATTAAAAAGATATTACACTGGATATTTTCGCCCATATGGGTTTTGTTTGTTTGTTGTTTAACTCCGCACTTAGCAATATTCCAGCTATATGACGGCGGTCTGTAAATAATCGAGTATGGACCAGACAATTCAGTGATTTACATCATGAGCATCGATCCACGCAATTGGGTTCGATGACATGCATCAACTAAGTCAGCGAGCCTGGCCACCCGATCCCGCTAGTCGCCTCTTACGACAAGCGTAGTCACCTTTTACGGCAAGCATGGGTTGCTGAAGACCTATTCTAACCCGGATCTTCACGGGTGGTATGAAGTGGCGCGTCATAACTGGAGCTGAAAAAAGAGACCAACTCATTAAATGAAGTGGTGCATCACAACTGGAGCTGAAACAAAAGAGACCAACTCATTATATGAAGTGGCGCGTCACAACTGGAGCTGAAACATTAGAGAACCACTCATTATATGAAGTTGCGCGTCATAAGTGCAGCTGAAAGAAAAAAAACACAACTCATTATATGACGTGGTGCATTATTGACCAGCTAATAAATATGACGTGGTGCATCGCAACTGCAGCTGAAACATTAGAGACGAACTAATTATATGAAGTGGTGCATTGCAACCGGAGCTGAAACATAAGACACCAACTCATTATACCAGGAAGTGGCGTGTCACAGTTGGAGCTACACCGCTAGAGACAGACTTATCATATAAAGTGACACGTCACAACTGGAGCTGAAACATGAAATACCAACTCATATGTAGTGGCGCATCAAAACCAGAGCTGAAACATGAGAGACCAAGTCATTATATGAAGTGGCGCATCACAACCGGTGCTAAGACATGAAAGACCAACTCATCATATGAAGCGGCGCATCACAACCGGCGCTGAAACATAAGAGGCCAACTCACTGTATTAAGAGGTGCATCACAACTGGAGCTACAAGACTAGAGACCAGCTCATAATACAAGAAAGTGGCGCTTCTCAAATGGTTCTGAAACATTAAAAGACCAAATCATTGAAAAAGGATTGTGCACGTCTGAACTGGATCTAAATCATTAAAAGACTAAATCATTGTTACTGGAGATGGTACATTTCAATATAGACTATAGTCTTGATTTTGTTTTCGAAATGATCCTTTGGGAGTGATACGCAAATCGTTATAAAACTCTACAAAAGTTACTTGCCGGAACGGGTATGCACAACAGAGGTCCATAATCTTTGCATTGACTATTGTGCTAAATAATGGCCAATCGAAGTCAATGCAGCTGTTCATTTGAACCCAAAGCTGAGAGCTTTTTAATATCTATAAGTATATGTACTCTAGAGATCAGACTTCCAAACGACCTCAGCTGACACTACAACTGCCTTTCTACGGTAACTGGGGTATCATTGGGTGTGGACAGCACCCGCAACTCATTCTTACACTTCACCATGAATGCGGAAGGTTATACTTTCCCTACTACTCGGAACATTTGGACCAGCAAAATACACCCCTATATCTACTGACCACATTCTTCACAGGGAAAGTCCAGCATAACATGGCTTTCTCAGAATGGAGCCCACGTGACCACGGACAGTTGCAATGTGTAACCCATGTCCAGGCACCTTGGTCGTCTAGGTATAACGTACGATTGTAGAAGGACATGTTCACATTCAGTCAAAGTCACTGTGACTATAGAAACTAGTTGGAGTTAAAGTAGCCCCGAGTTTACACCATTATACCGAAAAAAATGATTGTCTTGGAAAAACGTGATGCGTCTCAGATGGACATAAATCATTAAAAAAAATCCAGCTCATACTAGTAGGAAGTGGCGCGTCACAACTGGTTCTGAAACATATGCGAACAACTCATTACATAAAGGGGCGCGTCACAACTTGAGCCGAAAGGTGAGAGACCAACTAATTATATAAAGTGTTGCGTCTCAACTGCAACTGAAACATTAGAGATCAACTTATCATATGAATGGCACATCACAACTGGAGCTAAAACATTAGAGATCAACTCATTATATGAAGTGGCGTGTCAAAACTGGAGCTGAAACATTAGAGATCACCTCATTATATGAAGTGGCGCGTCACAACTGGAGCTGAAACATTAGAGATCACCTCATTATATGAAGTGGCGTGTCAAAACTGGAGCTGAAACATTAGAGATCACCTCATTATATGAAGTGGCGCGTCACAACTGGAGCTGAAACATTAGAGACCAACCCATTATATGACGTTGTGCATTGCAGCTGGAGCTGAAACATTAGAGACGTACTAATTATATGAAGTGGTGCATTGCAACCGGAGCTGAAACATAAGACACCCCCTAATTATACCAGGAAGTGGCGCGTCACAGTTGGAGCTACACCACTAGAGACAGACTCATCATATGAAGTGGCGCGTTACAACTGGAGCTGAAACGTGAAAGACCAACTCATTATATGAAGTGGTGCATCGTAGCTGGAGCTGAAACATGAAAGACCAACTCATTATATGAAGTGGTGCATCGCAGCTGGAGCTGAAACATGAAAGACCAACTCATTATATGAAGGGGCGCATCACAACTTGAGCTGAAACATGAAAGACCAACTCATTATATGAAGGGGCGCATCACAACTTGAGCTGAAACATGAAAGACCAACTCATTATATGAAGGGGCGCATCACAACTTGAGCTGAAACATGGGAGACCAACTCATTATATGAAGTGGTGCATCGCAGCTGGAGCTGATACATAAGAGACCAACTCATTATATGAAGTGGCAAGTTACAACTGGAGCTGAAACAAACAAAAAAATCATTATATGAAGTGGCGCGTTTCAACTGGAGCTGTAACATGAAAGACCAACTCATTATATGAAGTGGCGCATCACAACCGGAGCTGAAACATAAGACACCAACTCATTATTCCAGGAAGTGGCGCATCACAGTTGGGGCTACACCACTAGAGCCAGACTCATCATATGAAGTGGCGCATCAAAACCAGAGCTGAAACATGGAAACCAGCTCATAATACCAGGAAGTGGCGCTTCTCAAATGGTTCTGAAACATTGAAAGACTAAATCATTAAAATAGCAGTGTGCACGTCTGAACTTGATCTAAATCGTTAAAAGACTAAATCATTGTTACTAGAGATGGTACATTTCAATATAGACTATAGTCTTGATTTTGTTTTCGAAATGATCCTTTGGGAGTGATACGCAAATCGTTATAAAACTCTACAAAAGTTACTTGCCGGAACGGGTATGCACAGCAGAGGTCCATAATCTTTGCATTGACTAGTGTGCTAAATAATGGCCAATCGGAGTCAATGTAGCTGTTCATTTGAACCCAAAGCTGAGAGCTTTTTAATATCTATCAGTATATGTGCTCTAGAGATCAGACTTCCAGACGACCTCAGCTGACACTACAACTGCCTTTCTACGGTAACTGGGGTATCATTGGATGTGGACAGCACCCGCAACTCATTCTTACACTTCACCATGAATGCGGAAGGTTATACTTTCCCTACTACTCGGAACATTTGGACCAGCAAAATACACCCCTATATCTACTGACCACGTTCTTCACAGAGAAAGTCCAGCATAACATGGCTTTCTCAGAATGGAGCCCACGTGACCACGGACAGTTGCAATGTGTAACCCATGTCCAGGCACCTTGGTCGTCTAGGTATAACGTACGATTGTAGGACATGTTTACATTCAGTCAAAGTCACTGTGACTATAGAAACTAGTTGGATTTAAACACCATTATACTGAAAAAATGATTGTCTTGGAAAAACGTGATGCGTCTCAGATGGACATAAATCATAAAAACCAGCTCATACAAGTAGGAAGTGGCGCACCACAACTGGTTCTGAAACATAATGCGAACAAATCATTATATAAAGTGGCGCGTCACAACTTGAGCCGAAAGGTGAGAGACCAACTAATTATATAAAGTGTTGCTTCTCAACTGCAATGGAATCATTAGAGACCAACTTATCCCATGAATGGCACAGCACAATTGGAGCTGAAACATTAGAGATCACCTCATTATATGAAGTGGCACGTCACAACTGGAGCTGAAACATTAGAGATCACCTCATTATATGAAGTGGCGCGTCACAACTGGAGCTGAAACATTAGAGATCACCTCATTATATGAAGTGGCGCGTCACAACTGGAGCTGAAACATTAGAGATCACCTCATATGAAGTGACGCCTCACAACTGGAGCTGAAACATTAGAGATCAACTTATCATATGAATGGCGCATCACAACTAGAGCTGAAACATTAGAGATCAACTTATCATATGAATGGCACATCACAACTGGAGCTGAAACATTAGAGGCCAACTAATAAATATGACGTGGTGCATCACAACTGCAGCTGAAACATTAGAGACGAACTTATTATATGAAGTGGTGCATTGCAACCGGAGCTGAAACATAAGACACCAACTCATTATACCAGGAAGTGGCGCGTCACAGTTGGAGCTACACCACTAGAGACAGACTCATTATATGAAGTGGCACGTTACAACTGGAGCTGAAACGTGAAAGACGAACTCATTATATAAAGTGGTGCATCGCAGCTGGAGGTGAAACATGAAATACCAACTCATTATATGAAGTGGTGCATCGCAGCTGGAGCTGAAACATGAAATACCAACTCATTATATGAAGTGGTGCATCACAGCTGGAGCTGAAACATGAAATACCAACTCATTATATGAAGTGGTGGATCGCAGCTGGAGCTGAAACATGAAATACCAACTCATTATATGAAGTGGTGC